GAGAGAGAGTTTTGCACGAGAACACAACCTGTGTGGACAAACTACTTCATTAGTAATCAGCATGGTGAATGGGGCACGAGCAGTTTGAGCTTCTCAACTGAATTTGAAGTTAGCTCCCACATCGGGGGAAGATACGATAGAGGTGCACCAGGCATTTACTATTAACGAACTACCAATGAGAGCTTCCGAAAGTATCCGGTCGCTAGCGCGGCGCTGGCCTCACCTCCACGATCTGCCNAGTAGGCCGTAGAGATTCATATGCTGTGCACACGATGTTTGGTTGAATACTCTGCGGGCCGACCAGTAATGATGGTAATTATTCAGCCCCGATCAGCTTCATCTCGCGGCCAGTAATCCCATAGGAGACGACCTGGAGCGGCTTTACAATCACGAGTTCGGCTAAATAGCAGATGACCGGGTATCTATGTCGAGAGAAGACCGAGCAGCCCTGACTGTCGTCCTCAAAACGGCACGACACAACGGAATCCAATTTGAAGTGCCGTTACCCTGGCGAACGGGATCCAACCGACTGCCAGACAATCGAGAAATAGCACTCCACAGGCTCAACTACCTGAAGGCTCGATTGAAGAGGAACGCGCAGTTGAAGGAAGCCTACTGTAACGCCATGAAACGCGATCTAGAGTTGGGATATGTCGAACGCGCAATGAGAGAAATCAAAAAGGAGTAACCATTGTGGTACCTTCCGCACCACCCTGGCATAAACCCCAAGAAACCTCAGAAGATCCGGGTTGTCTTCGATTGTGCTGCCAAGTGTGCCGGGATTGCCCTAAGTGACAGTCTATTACAAGGCCTAGACCTGCGACCCCGCTGATTGAGGTGCTGTGCAGATTCCGGCTGGAGTCAGTTGCATTGGTGGCTGATATCGAGGAGATGTTCATGCAGGTCAAAGTCCCCGAAGGGCAAAGGGATGCTCTACGGTTGTGATGGTGGTCGGATGGAGACCTTGACGGACCTCGATGGACCTTGACCCTGTGCGGTACGTTCGAAATTTGATTCTGCCTTGCTGTCGAATCAGTCGCTAGTCTATTGCCCCCATTATCTCAACTTTCCATTCTGAAATTACGAAAATAATCCATCCCTACTGACTTTTTAGTCATGTTATCCGCTCAACAGCTCCCTCTGTACCTAGACGAAGATACCTTTCCAATGCTTCAAAACTAGGCTACCCTTAGCTCGGAACACTCTTCGACCGATCTTTTGGGACTTATTCACGAGCAAGCCTTAGAAATAAAAGACGTTAAAGCTAGGCTGAGTATATTTGGCTGCCAGCTAGCCAACTCACAAGCTCTGCTCCTAACGTCAGTCCCAACAACCTGTGCTGCGAACACGGCTCTTAAGCTTTTGCAGCAAGAAACACTCGACGCAGCTAAAACCACTAAAGGATAGCAAACAATGTGCGAAGCGGGTTATTTTCTGGAGGCTGTTCTCTATGTCGGACACTTTAGAAAGCATATGTAAGCATATAAGCAGCCTTCTACAACCGCATAAATTCAAACCCCTTAGCTGTACCTGGCTAACCACCAAAGGTTCGCCCAGACGTCTCGGCCTTCTCGTCGATATGGGGTCTTCCAAGCTTGCCAATGATGTTCTCATCGAAGCTTTTACCCTTAAACGCTTCTGGTTAGGTTTGAAAGGGGTCTCCATAGACAAACCACTGCATATGAAACTTTCACAGCCCAACCTAAAAGGTCCAAAAGTTGATCCTAGAGACGCCGAACTGTTGAGAAGCGCCTTCATCTCAGCAATTCGAATGGACTCAAAGGTTCTTAAGCCTCAACCCGCTTCCCCAGACCCCAGACCCTTAGACGAGACAGTAGTCTGCCTTAAACCAATGGCGTCCAGCTCATCAAACACCAATTTTGTAGAACAGAATCAGACTTCAGTCAAGGCCTCTGGGAATAAGGAGCAAAAGAAGCTGAAAAGTAAAAAACAGACTAAACCCAGTCCGGTCCGCAAATTAGCCCCACCTAACAGTAGAAGAGGGCTCCTCGGGGATCCTCCCAGTCGCAATCAGGTGCATCTGGAAACACTGCGTAAGTTGCCGGAGGCCGATAAAGGACCAACGTTTCACCCAGTGAATGGTTGTTCCTGCGGTGTACCCTCCCAGCTCGATAACGGCAAAAACAGAGCAATTTTTCGGCCGAAGGGTGCGACAAGTCGTCCGCCAGAGAGGCTGATAAAGAAGGCCCCAACGATGGTGAGATACTTTCCCAAGATAGCCCCCCGACCAACGTACGCTCAAACCGTACGTCGACCACCTCTAATGTCGCTTCCGACTGCTTAACCGGTCCCGCCTTTCTCCCTAACGGACTCAAGGACTTTGATGGACGCATAGTTAAGTGCATTTCTAGCAACTGCCTTAGCCTTCCAAACAAAGTTCTTGAATTAAAGCAACTTACCTTAGAGCAACGCCCTATGTTATCACCCTCACCGAGACCTGGCTCAACGAAAGTGTTCTAGATGGAGAAATCTCCATTCCAGGCTTTACACTGATAAGATCAGACTCAGCTCGGGGCAGAGCAGGTGGTGTTATAGCTTACTTTAGTTGCGCCCGCCCTCCTCCATTTCTTATTTCAGTCGATCCAATAGGCCCAATAGATACTTCATGGGTTAAACTCAAACTCTCAAGGTTAGCCACGCCTACTTGGAGTCGTATACCGTCCTCCCCAGAGTTCTCCCATCGAAAGCCAACTACTCATTGACCAATTAAGGTCAATAAGTAACACCCATCCTTTC